AGCACCCCCAAAGGTAGGCTTTCTCCTGGGAAATTTTCATTTCCATTTTATCGCCAAACAGAATAAAATGCAAAACAAACTTTCTAAGCTAGAATAACGAAATTAAGTCATTTTCCATTTTGTATATATTGATGCTAATAAAACATGAAAAAGAGTCCAGTGTGTGGGATTTTTGTTACAGACACTTCAGGATGGCACCAAGTGGAATGATTCCAGTTTCGGGGATTGGGCTGGGGTAACACCTACTGATACTTTGAACACTAAGACAGGACTTCCCACTCTGGAATGTTTCTGGGACCTTCAAGGGATGTTTGGGACAAGGTGGGTTTGAGGATACTGCCATCATCAGATGTTCCACCATCCTCCCTGTCTTCACTCAGCCTGCCATAAGAAAACGCCACAGACGAGATGGGTTAAATAACAGAAACATATTTCTCAAAGGCCTAGAGACTGAGAAGTCCAAGATCAGGGTACAAGACAATTCAGTTCCTGGTGAGAGCTCTCTTCCTGACTTACAGATGACTTTTTTGCTGTGTCTTCACACAGTAGAGGGAAGGGAAAAGGCAGGAAGGAGGGGAAGAGAGGGAGAGAAAAAGGGAGAGGCAGATCTGCCTCTTCTTAAAAGGCCACAGTCTTATCAAATGAGGTCAAACCCTTATGACCTTGTTTAGCCTTAATTACCTGCTGATGGCCTTATCTCCAAGTACAGTCACACTGAGGGTTAGAGCTTCAACATGTGAATTTTGGAGGGACACAGCTGTCCACAGCATTGCACCCCTGGCGCCCCCAAAATGTATGTCCTTCTTGCATGCAAAATATATTACCTCCACTCCCACAGCCTCCAAAGTCTTAACTTACAACACCATCAACTCGCCTGAAGTCTCATTTAAATATCATTTAAATCAGGTATGAATGAGACTCAAGGTATGATTTATCCCAAGGCAAACTGCTCTCTATCTGTAAATCTATGAACCCACACAAGACACGTGGTTCCAAAACACAATGGCGGGACAGGGATAAGATAGACATTGCTATACCAAAAGGGAAAAATAAGGAGGAAAGGGGTGTCGGCTTTCAAGCAAGTGCAAAACCTAGCAAGGCAAATGCCATTAGATCTCAAGACTTGAGAATAAGCTTCTTTGGTTTGATGCTTGCCCTAAAGGCCCACTGGGGTGGCAGCATCACCTCCTTGGCTCTCTCGAGCTGCCCTGTCCACACGGCTTTCTTCAGAGGGCAGCCCGCCCCTGAGACACTGGATGGGATTGTCCTGGCTGAAACCAGAGACACAGCCCTGCCCTTGAAAACAGAAGAGGAAAGAAACACTTTGGTTCAGGACCTATGGTGGCAGTGGCACCCCTGATGATCCCTTAATCACCTTCTGGTTCATTCTTAGCACACATTCGCAGCTGAGCTCTGTGGTTTGGTCCTGAAGACTTCCAGAAGGTTGAGTGTTATTTTTCATTCTGTCCTGCTTTCTCTACCCCCTTTAGTTCAAACTGGCAGTGTCTTCACTGGTATAATTCCATTCCTAGGTTCTGCCAAGATAGCTGATGAAGTCCATGAGTTTTACTCATTGATCTCTATTATTTATCTATTTATTTATTTATTTTACATTTTTTTATAGGGACAGGGTCTCGCTATATTGCCTAGGCGGGTCTTGAACTCATGGGCTCAAGAGACCCCAAAGTGCCGGGATTACAGGCATGAGCCTCGAGATCTCTTCACCACATGCTTGTTCAAACACATCCTCAGCGTTCTCTTCAGAACAAGCTTTCTCATTTTTTGCTATATGGATAGGCTGAGATTTTTCCCAGATCTTCAAGTTCTGCTTCCTTTTCCTTAATTGTTTTTTCCCATAACCAAAATGAGTGATGGAGGCAGGTGTCTCAATCAATCAAGGTTTATGGAACCAGCTGGAGGGTGCACCCAGGAAAAACGTGAGTCACGGACACATCTGGGGCTGTGTTTTCCGGAGAGGTTCTCAAGAGGTTTAGCAGTTCCACATTTTCCTTAAAAGGGAGGGGGGTGCAATGAGGTAAATAATTACATAGTTATGAGAGACTTCAGTTAGAGCCCCACAATTTTACATTTTACATAAGATAAGGTGAATGTTTGAAGAAAAACAGAATGGAGGAAGGAGAAATCTCAGGGAGGGATGAAGGAATGATTAATCTCATCTTGTCTTTACCTGGGAAAATAAGCTAGTTATCTACATTATCAGTGTGGAGTCTTTTGAAAGGGCTGGTTTCTGTTTGGCCCTTAGAAAGACTGATGGTGATCATTGAGGGTGAAGGGATAATGAGGTGTGACTGACCCCTCCATCCCATCATGGCCAGAAACTCAGCTTCAGTTTCTCTGGGGCCTCCTTGGCCAAGAGGAGGTTCATTCTGTCAGTTGGGAGCTGAGAATTCTATTGTTATTTCTCTTTTTTTTTTTTTTTTTTTTTT